ATAACCCCTATAGCAGTCTCATATATAATCCCCTATGTAACCCCCCTAGAAGGAGTTTAGATTATAGCTCATATATTGGCACTGCCTAGGTGCCACCTCTGCTCCAGCAGACGCTGCTTCCATAGCCTCAGCAAGGGACTGGCACTCCACCTGCAGGCAAAGGAACTCTTTCTGGGGTCTAATAGAGAATAAGGGGATACATTTGGGATTATATTATAGGCTTTAGGGTTTAGGGCACAGGGTTCAGGGTTTACGGCTTTGTAGAAAATATATTGGGGTTGTATAGGGATATTGGAGGAAAATGGAAACTAGTATACTCTAGCAGGACATATTTTGGGGGTATAGTAGGGAATCTGGGAATATACTATAAAGATTCCTCTACAATCTCCAGATAACCCCCTAAAAATCCTACATACGTTCACTTTCAGTTCCCCCCTACATTTTAGCACCAGTAAGGAAGCTAGGAACTTCCGGCTAAGGTGCCCCTAACATCCCTGGGTCCGCCCTTTTTGGGAAACTTCAGGAAAATCCCAATCCTTCAACCGCGTGCCTCGATTTTGTTGGAGAAGCCGCAAGCGCTGCGAGCTTTTCTCACCATGGCCTGGGTAGAAACCTAGGAAACTAGGCGTTTTCCGGAACAGAAGTAGGGGTAAAGGTTTACTGTCTCGTGAGTCTAGTGTAGAGGGTTTAATCGCCAAAAGTCTTAGAACGAAGCAGAATCACCTAGAAACTGAAATGAAAACTGGGTTCGAATGGACATCTACAAGGATTATATGCAGGGAGCGGAAAAACTAAAGCAGGGGCATGGGGGTACATTAGATTGCGCATATGCGAGGAGTGTTAGAGAATAACATTGGTGCCTGTTCAGGCTTCTACATCAGACATATTACGAAACACGATCGGTATGTATACAGCCACTCAAGAAGCTGCAGGATGTTACCCAGTACTAGCTTGCAGTTTGGGTTCCCTGTGGAAGGTCACTGGTGCTCTCTTTCAAATTCATAAGATGTGATTAGGTTTGGCCTTCATCAACAATCTAAAAATGTTGACACACTTCTATCCAGGATTCTGCAGGTTCTGTAAGGACTATACGTCGCGTCTTGGGGACGGCGTTAGACTGAACGCGATTTAAGGGATTCTACCGGACTGTTTGTGGTTAAGGGTGCCTCAAAATTATGGGCTCCTTTCTTACGTCCTTCCCACAACTTGTAGGCACATGCAACAGATCCTAATTCCAAGAAGTCTTTGGATCAGTAGCCAGAAGTAAACTCAAACTGGAATCTTACTTGTCGACAATCACACTTTGGCTTAGTGGCATCCTCGTACCCTTATCAAAGAGACTGGGCAGTTAGGTTGTTCCTCTCCGAATGGAAAAAAGGATGCATGCTCTTTGCTAGGTGAGCTCTTCCCCACTCTACGACCAAGGACAAAGTCCTTTCCGCTTTGCATCAAACACTCTCAGGAATCCAATGCAGGTCCTGAAATGCATGCTTGACATCAAGCATTGCTCGCTGGTAGGGAGTCGGGCGGATACCAATAAAAAGCTACAAGTAGTAGCAATTCCAAGAGAAATAGGGGCAAGTGCAGCAATGGCAGTACGCAAGAGTAGTAGGCGAACAAACGAATTGAACAAAAAACAACCACCGGACAACAACGACAACAACAGCAACCAGAACTTTCAAACAGGTAGCAATGATGCTAGAGACTGCTGAAATTGACAATGCATGAATGACGTGTGATACGAATGTTACTCAATCCTAGTACTCCATAAATTCATAAAGCTGCACATGTAGAAAATAGTAGCAACAGCGGGCCTGAATGTCACCACCGCATGCCCAGCAATGATTGTCCTGGCAAGTTTGCAAGCCCAGAATCCCAGCCGGAATTTCCACTCACCATTGGGCCAATGCTTGCAATCTAGCTTGTCTGGAGCTTGCGAGCTTAGATTTCAATGAGGAATTCAAAATAGTCTGCAAGTTGCACTCTTTCACTTCCCAAAGCATACACCCCCGATATAAAAATGAACCCTGAACTTCAAATTCTAGACCCTAACCCTGAACACTGTACGCTCAGGAACACCCTGTGCTGAGCTACCGCGCCCCCTGTACAGCCTCCCTGCGCGAGTACAGCTGATGCTGACATGAAAAAGGGGCCAACTGAACAACCTGCAGAAACAGTTGCAATGGTAAATGTTTGACCCTCAAAGCAAATTGAGTTCATAATGAACAAACTGCGAAGCATTTGTGTTTGCGAGTGTTCCAGTTCGCTACCCTTCAGAAAGCCGAAGGAGTCATGCTAGAGGCTACAGTTCGATACACATTCGGCACATCTATTGCGTCATTCGCATGGACTGTTCGCACTGTTTCTTCAGCAGGACATCAGCAGCAAAAATCATCAGAAAACGGTGGATTCGGCAGAAAGCGAGCTGCCGCCAGGCTTCCTGTTCTGGTTGTGGTTCTTGGCTGCTTCGCCATCATTCGAACTGTGTTGTTTGCACTCTGATTCTGTCCTTGAGCATGGTCATGTCACTCAAGGTCATGCGATGAGGGACACCTCCCCCAACCACGACCGCCTTGCTTGGTGTGCACATGCAAACATATCTGGACATCTGGGGGTGGACGGGGGATATTGAGAGGCTCTAGATGTTGGTCAACCAACATTTCGAATGTACAGATTTCAGACAAGGACTTCACTACCGCAGATTAATGCCCAATGTGATGTAACACATATGCTTTCTCAAAGGGCACTGAACCAGGACAACCTGAGCGTGGCCAAGGATGCAATTTCACAAAGTTGACATCATACCTGCCAGGCTGTGAGCAACTCCCATTTGCACCCCCAACCGTTTGAATGGCTTCAGTTCATTGTGGTCGGAGCATGATATTCCTGCAGCCTTTGCTAACACGACTTTGTAGGTCTCCTAAACAAAAATGAGGGTTTAGGGTGTATGGTAAACGCTTCATGGCATTCGCGCTTGTCGGCATTGACAGGATACACCTTCTTCTTGCTGCTGAGCTTTGATTTCCGAGATGGAGCTCCGTCAACTGTCTAAGCTGTCCTCATATCCCACTTGATGAAGCCTGGTCACAAGCCCCATCAAAGCACTATGGGCAGCCTCAAACATCGGAACCAACCCACCGAAAACATACACCTCGAAACCAGTTGAAACATACAGTTCCAAAAATGATGCTTTACAGAGCTTAGGAAAGGCTTGGGCCTGAATCGATTAGTAAGGGTGTTACATGCAGCCGAGAGGCATACTTCTCGAAAAGACGGAAGCCCGGAGTAACTTTCCGCGTTGCTGCAACTTCACCTGACCCAATCGGTACTGAGTATCAGGACAAGTCATGTGGCTCCAGCCAAGATCATACCAACCTTTGTAGAGGATGCCATGGACATCGTGATAATGGCAAGGGTGGTAGAACTTGTAGAAATTGTTGTTGCTGGGTGCAAACCGTGATAGACAAAAAACTATGCCGAACAAAAAACATGACATGGGAATAGTTCTAGCACTAAAAAACTTCAACATGCTTCCGAACTACGAGATTCACTAGATGTCAGTATGATGTCATTACGCAAGCAAGCTTAAGCTATCCCTATCCCGGCAGCTTGAGGCGCTGGCCGTGCCAACCATGCTGACGCTTAATTGCAACCAGCTGGCTCGTCTGTGTCGCCTCGAGAGTAGGTTTCCAAATCAATATGGTAGTCTCCCTAAGTAGGGGACCCCTATATAGAGCCCAAAATACTACAATCATTATTGTAGGGACCACCAAAAAGGTACCCCTAGTTTTGGGAAACCCCCGTATGGATCTTTTTCAAGGAATTCGGGCTCCTTTTGCAGGAGCCCTGATCTGAAGGATTCTAGTATGTGGGGCCATGCAAGGGGACCCTCCGTCTCGCAAACACCCACGCGGCATTCCTCCTTGCAGCTGCTAAAAACTGAGGTGACAACAATGCCGCTGCAGCGAGAAATGATGTTGAGCCTCATGGTTGAGGGTTCAGGTCTAGTTCCTGTTGGACCAGTTGCTGGTCTGTGTTGCACACGCATACATCTGCCCATAGATGCAAGACACGTGCCACTTTGGGTTACGTGCCCATACAGTTTTTGGGTAAACCTGCCGCCTGGGGTTACATGTGTGGACACATCCAGGAGGGCTTGGGTAAATCGCAATCTGCCGCTTTGGGTTACATCTGCCGATACATCTTAGTTAGGATTCGCGCAAGTCTGCCGCTGCTGGCTACATGCCAATACTACCAATACATCTCCAACAGGATTGGGGTGGATCTGCCGCTTTGGGTGTCAAAAAGGAAATACCCCTAAACCCTGAACCCTGATCGAACTCTGAACTCAAAACCAACCTGGAACCCTCCGAACCACTGAATGCTCCTGGACCAGAAACCCTGGAAGCTTTCCCAAACTGGCCAACATCATCACATTCAACTTGTAAACATCATCACATTATCGCAGGTTTGCCCCCCAGCCTTACGTTAGGCACAAGACTTCAAAGCCAATGTCTTGTCAGAAGGCCGGGCAAGACGAGCAATAGCACTACAGAAAGCGACAACTGACTCCGATTATCCCTGATCTTATGCAGCTCATCAGCTGTATCATCGTCATGGACATCCTGGCAATAGCCTTACTTCAAGACTATGATGACAATCAGCATGACAAACATAAACCCTGACCTCCAATCCTGCCTCGAGTCTGGACCTTCATGCTTCAGCCTAAGCCTGAAAACGAGAAGAACAAAAAAACAAGGACAAGAAGAAAGATGCACTAAGTCCACAGCGCCGTACGCTCACCTTGCAGCACTCGACAGACCGGCCCAGTGACCTCGCGCTTCCGTACTGTTGCTGATTCAAGTGCTGGCGAGTTCACAGTTTTCAGTGTCGTCATCGTTGCTGGTCCATCATGACAACCGGACTGGTTCTGCACAAAGGGTGAGTTTAGCTTCGACGATGGTTCGCAGCTGTCACAAAAGCGAGGACAAGCTGTCCCTGCCAAAACTAGGCTTGGCGGTGGCAAGAAAACCTACCAGTAGACCTAACACTGGCGATCAGAGCTGTGTGGCCTCTGCAATTTTCTTGCGACCCTTGAAGTGCGAGGGCGTAGCATCAAAGTCGCCTGCAGAATCACAGGAGTCGCTTAGAATGCCTACCACGCAACTTATCCAGCCAAGCAGACGAAAAACGTTTTGATGAGCCCATTACATTACAGGGTATGAAAACCAACTTTCTGGCCTTCGCCGTAGCACATGAAGGCTAGCGACGAGGTAAGAGTGAAACAGCTAGTCCACATGGGAAGTCTCTTAGAGCACAGGTTGCAACAACATTTCCACGTTGACCGCCTGACTCCCTCTTAATGCAAGATGGCATTCCTGCCTGTGTCTTCAGGTGGAAATCTTCCCTGCGCATCTGCCTCTGCCACCTTCATACACGGGAAAAACGAGTCATTTCAGGCATATCAAAGCGACATAGCAAAAGTCTGCCAAGTGAGACACAGATGAAATATAACGCCGCTGAATGAAACCAGACAACGCGAAGGCAATGAATGCATTTGGCCATCCTACGTCTCCGATACCCCAAAATGCCAGGATTCTGATTGTTAGGGGCCAACACACCAACCGACATTTTTGGGAAGAAAATATGATCCCTCCAAGAGTTCTTCATAAAGCCACAAAAATCCGTGCAAACCTACCAAGATCTTGGAAGATCAATTGACTTACCACCAGCATTGGTCCTGGGATGCGGGCCGGAGACAAGTCAAGCCGGCATCCCTCCGTTACGAACCACTGCACTTCGCATCCAAGCTCCTGCAGAAAACTTCACCCTGCTGAGTGTCTCAAAAATTAAAAGCTTAGGGTTGGGAGGTTTGTTTATTGAGTCCAGCATGTTAGGGGTCTGGCGGTCGAGGTTTTGGGTCTGAAGTTCACGTGTTTGCGGTTTACGATACCGGGCACTTGGAGCCCTGACAGAAGTTGGCTTGATGGATATATGTTGAACTTGACAGCTTCTCCAAATCAGCCGCAAACAAGCCAGGCCGACGATCACTCTTGTCGTTATGCTGCTGCGGCTGGCGAACTCTGATTGTGGGAAATTGTCGTGGCCAGTATTCCCTGTTGACATCACACTTGGTGGAACCACATCCCTTACAGCAACACAATGCCCCAAGACAGTGACGAACTAATCTAGCCCATGCCACAAGAGTTTTCAATCGCAACCCGCAAAATCAACACGGTGGAGGAGGTTGTGCCTCATCCATGATCCAGGCTGGCTTAGATTGGGCTTGCGAACATCAACCATTTGACCAACCACACCGACATGCCACTGGCATGACCGCAAAACTGGCAGGCGGGCCTCGAAAACTGCATTGAAGAAGGGCATGCCGGCCAAAATGCCAGGAGTCTTTGCCAGCAAATGTGCCTCCCGACTTCTCAGGTAGAGGTACTACATGAATTTGGATTGCACGATGCCAAGCTTGCGATGCGTTGCATGCCAACGCCTTGACCAGCTTATTGCCCACTACAAACGCGCCAACGTCAAAGCTCGGCATGTCCTGGAGACGTGGCAAACAGCATGGGCCGAAAGTCTTGCACACATGGATGCTGTACCTTCCCTGAAGACAACCAGGAAACCGCTCCCAAAACAATCATGACAGACTCAACACTCACTTGGCGTGACACAAACACACCAAATACACTGTCATCAACATCTACGCGTGCTGTCCCGAAGCTATGCGTTGCATCACGCCCGCTTGTAAAGCCTGAATGAAAGCCCTGCAATAAACTGCACACCTTGCAACCCAAAGCTGTTGTACAGCCGTGTGTCATCCGTATTTGATCCAACAAGTATTCGCTACACTTGAGTCTTTGCTGGACCTGTTGGGCTTCCAATATGACTTTCAGACGTCTCTGGCTGGCTCTATCAGGCAATAAAATGCACATCCTAAACCATATACCGTACATCCTAAGCCAGACCTCAAAAAGCAAACGTCCTGCTGCAAAAAACGCGACACATCTTCGCGGTAATGTCGTGGCAACAGCAGCGAAAAATCGTTGCCTGTGATGACCCGGCATAGCCACAAAATCACAGACCCGCACATAGTGCATAAAAATACGGTATCATCATACGAAATTGGCATTGAAGTACCCAAACTTGAAACCTTTGGCTTGCACTAAGAAACTTTAGGACACAAATGTTTATCACAGCGTCATGCCCATGTTGAGCACGTGCCACGCAAGTTTTGAAATGTGTGGACCTCTTAAAACCGAATCCGTGCCTTGGGTGCCAGGCGGCAGAAAGTTGTCCATGCCCGCGAGCAGTTTGCATCCAAGCAGAGACAAGCTAGAGTGATTAGACCCTGAAAATAACCGTTGTGTCTAAGCATCCCACGCACAAAGTGCCTCATCTTGCAATGCCACAAAATCTTGGAACAGTACAGCCTATGGGTGCTATTTCGGATGATCCAAGCTTGACATGAACCGGCGAGCATGAGTTTGGCAATTATTGTCCATGACCACAATATTCTCCCACAAACACAGCTTTGGATATATGTTTTTCCCAACACCCCAGGCCTACATCCTGAAACCACATTTTCATCAGTGCATCCAGGCCTGAATCCAGCAGGACAGGCACTCCCAAAAGAAATCATGTGGTTGCAGCTGAAATATTTGGGGTCATTGGCGACTCTTTCAATATCGAAACCATTCCAAAAAATGAGCAGTGGACGGACGCATCAAAAAACCGCAATCAACTCGCGGTTGACTGACGTCAGGATGCGATACCGAAGTTGCGCATCCAAAAGTGGTTCAAAAGAAACAATCATCGCCTCTGTTTTCCATCCAGTCGGTCGTGCACTCCAAGGGTTGGGATGGAGGGCTTGATTGTACAGGATGCCAACCATGCCTGTCGCATCTTCCGATTTGCCCATTTTTAAAACATGACAGACGCTCGGACCTAACACTATGGGTCATGCGTCCCCAAATAGCCCAAAGCAATTTCTATTCAAGAATATGTTTACGTAAATTGCGCCAGAACAACGCATGGAATGACACAGTGGCTGCTCTTGATACTGTCTGACGGGCAAACTCCATTAAAGTCTTTTCTTACGGGGTAAAAGAATCTATCAGTCTTAAGGCTCCAGCTGCTTAGAATCCTAAAGCTTAGCAATGCGCATGCCCTCCTGCGTGTCCGCCTCTCGCCCGCGCCCTCCCCAACAACATGGTTGACGCAACACGCGTGTGAAATGATACAGAATTCTAACCGGATCACACAGTCACGAAGCCAGAGCGGAGAGCCCCCTAGCAAATGCGGAAGTAGTTGCAATGCAAAGCAAACACGAGTACCAGCCTATACCGCTGCACGCAGCTAACGCCGTGATAACCCAGACCCATTTTGGTATGTTGTTTGGTCAATCTGTTTAGCTAACCGAGCCCCATTTTGGTATCTTGTTCAGTCAGTCTGTTGTTGGATCAGGTTTAGCCCACGCCCACAGCATGATCACGTCCGTCTTCGCGCGAATGATTAACCAGAGCATACCCAAAGCATCCGTACCCAAACCATAATAACGTTCGTGTTCCAAGATCATACCGTCACCAGAGCATCCATGCCCAAGCCATCATAACGTTCGTGTTCCAACAGCATACGGTCACCAGAACATCCATGCCCAAACCCTGATAACGTTCGTGTTCCATGAGCATGCGGTCACCATTACATCCAAGCCCAAACCATCATCACGTTCGTGTTCCAACAGCATACGGTCAGCAGAACATCCATGCCCAAACCAGAATAACGTTCGTGTTCCAACAGCATACGGTCACCAGAACATCCATGCCCAAACCCTGATAACGTTCGTGTTCCAAGAGCATACGGTCACCGGAGCATCCATGCCCAAACCATCATAACGGTCGGCTTTCACGGTGGCGGAAAGTAGTTGCAGCGCAAAGCAAACACTAGCACCAGCTTACACCGCTGCACTAGCAGAGTAACACAATCCGGAGCAAAGTCTTTTGCTACGGGCCGTAACTTTGGGCACTGAGCGCCTTGATCAGAGCTATGGCAGCGGAGAAGTCGGCTAACGCACATGTCTGCACTCCACGCATGAGGCAAGGTAGACATGGAAATTCACGCCGCCCTCGACGCGTGGCATCGTAGAGAAGCGGAATTAGGGGGCCCATGCACACCGTAGGCTTCGCGTCATGTCCCGGTCAACGAACAGCCGAACAACCAACGCCTCGAGCTTAGATCGAGTCACTGCCAACGAATGTTCACATCGCGACCGAAGAAGAAAAGCATTCCATTGCTCCTTGCGCTACTTTGGTTGGGGGCAGGAAGGAACTGCCTTCTGCACGTAAGGCAAAATCAGTCTACACTTTTATACTTGGACTACAGGAGCCAAAAAGTGTACAATGCACCTACTCAGCTACAAATGCTCTGGTACAAAACCCTAATGAACATGTGTTAACAGACATCCACTCCCTCATCCAGGGCCTTTTCAGTGAAGGGGAGACAGAGGGGTGGACTCTGTGTGGAAATACAACCTTTATTGGCAGCGGGGCGTAGAAGCGTATACGTATGTGTGTATATATATATCTATCTATACATAGATGCTTACTGTAAGTCTATATATATATATGCATCTATACGCCTATAGATATATTCATTTCTACATGTATAATAACATTAGGACCTCAACTGTAATTGAACAAAATACGGACTTTTGCAACTCTCTGTGAGCCTGCATGTAGCGAATCCATCATGGTATTCATGATTAAGTTCAACACCCCACCTGAGATATAGCGTCAGTTGCGCTCGTATCTCATAGAACTTTTGGCTAACCTCCCAACTCGCACTCATGGCAACATGGGAGCTTCTGTGAAACTTTCAACTACCTTTTCTCGTAGCCCAGCTCACGGCTCACATTAGGAATTAGGAAACCGAAAACAACGTCAAAGCAAAGCTTCACACACAACATCACAATGAATGTCCATACTGCGGCACACTCACAACCTACCCACTGTACATCACTCAGCGGCTCACTTGCATGGACCACAACTGGCTCAGACACGGTGCTGGCGGCTGCAGTGCTCAACATACTGAGCAGCAGTAGGCCAGTAGGCAAATGGAGGGATTAGTGAAGCCTCCATTGCGCAACGATTTATTCATCAGCCTTCTCACATGCATTGACTGCTTGGCATTCTCAAACTTTGTCATGAGCTGCTCATACTCTGGCTGCGCAACAGGCACAAAGTAGTCACCTGAGGAATCCACAACATTGTGCATGAACAACAGGGCTTTGAGGCGTGCTGCTGACGCAGGAACCTTTGTCCCAAGGTCCGATGGGTTGATGCGCCCATCAACACTGCCAACTGCCATTACGCCGTCCGCCGCTTGCTCTGGAAATCCAAAGGTATCGGCCATCTAAGTGCCTGATTTTAGACACTCCGGCTTTGTTTGCAATCTGTTTGCATGATTGGTTATCAGTTTCCATCTGCAACTTGACATGCTGGCCGGTGACGAACTCCAGGACACGCTTCAAGAAGACACCATCACAAGCTACGCTGACAAGTGCATAAAGCTCACTCTCGGTGGATGAGAGGCTCACACATCGTTGTGTCTTGCATGATGTGTAGATGCAACAACCGTTGATATAGAAGCCTCCTGATGACATGCTCCTTCTTGTTCTTCTGTTGCCACTCCAATCGGCATCGCAAAAGCCTTCTAACAACAGATCGGTGTCTGTGTCTGGGGCATGCTGACTGCGAAGGATTGATGTTCCAGAGGGCAAAGCAGTGATCATTGTGGCATAATCACGCGTATGGTTCAAGTAGCTTGCCAACCTTTGTGCACATTGCCACGCATAAGCACCGGGCTCCTTGAGTTGCTGCGATAACAACCTCATGGTGAACGCGATGTCTGCACGATCCTGTGAGATATACATGGCTAACCCGATTGCCGACCGAAATGCTGATGCCTTCTGCGCACTGAGTTCCTTTGAAGAAACTGTGGAAAGAATTTCCTTAGTGCATGATGTTCCAGCCTTCTTGGTTGCGCTCACGCCCAAGATTTCACTCATCTTTGTTGTGTAGTCAGATGATGGTTTCACAATAATGCCGTCATCAACCAACACGTGTTCCCTTTTGAGGAACCGAAACGTGTCTCCAGGGTGTGTAGTAACGTCATATGAAAGCTGGAATTCCTGTTCGAGCAACGGAATATAGGTCTGCCTGATCCAACGGGTTTTGGCGATCGTCAGGAAATCATCGACGTGTGTCATCCCAGGATTTGACTGGAATTTATAAATCGCCGGTGCCTCCTTGCAAATCTCAAGCTCTCCCCTGCCACAGAGGTATTGCATGATATACTGATTCCACTTTGCAGAGCCATCCCTTTGACCAGGGATCATACGCAGGAACTTGAAATTGGGAAATCCAGGAAGTCTGCTTCTCATTGGCACAGGTTGCGGCACCTTCAGGTAAGCGTCCCTGATATCCAAGGCAAGAATGGAGTAGGTATCGTCATCTGTTTGCGGAGTCACACGCCTTGCGCCATTCG